CCCCCCCCCCCCCCGATCTTTAATTGCCCAACAGAGCACGGGAGGTGTCCGGGCTGAAGCATCACCCTCTCCCTCCCCCCTCCCCGAGCTCCTCTCCGCCCTTCTGTCGCGGTGTCCCTGCAGGGAAGGGCTGAGCTCAGCGGGGCTCCGAAACGGGCCGGTAAGGAACGCGGGGACCGCATCAAAACTGCGGGTCTGCTTTTGCGGATGCGGCTTTCATTTGAAATTTAAAAAGAAACTTTTCGAGATGCGACAAACCCGGTAACGTTAACCAGGGAAAACAAGCTAAAAATCTGAAGAATTTGCACAAGATTTTCGTTTCTTTCTCTCACGTGCATCTATCGTATTTACAGTGAACTGCACGCTCATCGGGCGGGTAGAAACCCTTTTCCGTGTGTTTATTTCTCACTTTCCCGTACGGCGTTTTTTTTCTCCAGCCGTTCTCCCCCCTCCGGAGGACACAGAGCAGCAACCGCAGGGCCCGGGGAGGGGGGGTGGCTGGCAGAGCCGGGATGCTCCGCTGCGGAGTCCCCGAGCCGTCCGGAGCCGCAGCCGAGGCCGGGGTTCCCCACAGGGCTGCGCTCAGCAGGTGCGGCCCTCCGGCACGGAGCGCGTTTGCCCGGAGCCTCCGTTCTTTCTCCAGTTCAGTGGTGGGAAAAGGAAGAAACGCAAACCGAAATGAAAACAGCAATAAAAACGCGAGATGGACGGATAGCAAAAAGTGAAAGCGGGTCCGACAGCGGCAAGTTAGCGGGGTTTTCATTCGTTTTCGTTATTATTTTTAAATTGATTATGAGCTGGCCGTGAGCCTCGAAGGCGGGTGGGGGATTTCGCGGGACAGCGGCAGCCCCGGCCCTCCCGTGCCTCCCCCGGGCTGCTCCGCTGCGGTGCGGTGAGCGGGGAAGCGGAGGGAGAGCGGAGCCCCCGACCGCCCGTCCCTGCACTCTCGGCAGCCGATTTCATGCCTCTCCGGTTGTGGGTCACGAGCCGGGCCTTGGCGGGAGCCGAGGTGACATCGCCGGGAGACGCTGGAGCGGAGGTAGGGGTCAGGGCTCTGTAACTCGACCGGTTTCATCCTCCCCCCTCCCCGGCTCGGCGCTGGCGGGGCTCTCCCGGGGGTGCGGGCTGCTGGGAGCCCCGGGGAGCTGGGACAGCGGGAGGGAGGTGGGAATGCTTTTTAGGACAAGTAATGTCCCAACACCATCTCACGTTAAACGTGCCCCCACCCCGAGCCGCACACCCCCCCTGCAGGGCCAAAGGCAGTCCCGACCAGGGGAGGGATGGGAGCGGGGTCTCGCTGCTCTGGAGCCCCGGAGCAGACCCACGGCGTGACATCGCGTAATGGATGGGATTCGTACAGGCAGGAGGAAGCTGCGGTTGCCCTGAGATCCCCGCGGCGACTCCTACCCGCCCGGTACCGGCGGTCGGGGCTGTGCCCGGGCAGCCGCCGCCGTTACAGCTTTGTCCTTCACACAAACCCACAGCTCGCTGTGTCCGGAAAGAAAGAAAGAAAGAAAAAATCCGTTTTAAAACAATTTTGTCCATCTACTGACACCGCTGCTGCACGCTGGCTACGGGATTCCCATGTCAAGCCGTTGTTGTGTTTACTAAACGTGAAAGCAACCCCCATTTAGTTTTTCTGTCCTTAAAAGAATTGTATCGCGTCGTGTTCCTCTTGGAAACTTAACGAACGAGCGCTTTGGTAATTAACTCACACCATTCAAAAGGTTTTACTCGAGCTCATGTAAACGGTGCGTATCGGAGGCGGCACGGAAAAGCGATCGCTGCGGCAGTGCTCGGGCTCTGAGACGGGAGCAAAGTCCCGAATTCATCTCCCATCAGGGAGCCCGGCACAGGCAGCAAAGCTACAGGACAGGTAAAATTTAAGCATTTCGTTTCTCTGAGCGGCTCGCAGCCGAGGGGGAGGAAACCCACCTCCTGCGGCGCGGAGCAGCAGCCAGCCTAATTGCCGGATTCCAGGCACGGAGCCCAGCGAGGGCAGCAGGGAAAGCCCACAACTGCTGCTCGAGTCACCGTGCCCCGGTCACCGTCCCGAGACACCGACCGAGATGGGAGAGCAGCCACCAGCCGTCTCCTGGGCTCTTCTCCCTAAAAAGCAAAGGGGGATTTAAAACCGAAACATCACGCGGTTTTATACTGGGTTTGGCAGAAATCGCCCCGAAATAACGGAGAAGACCCAAGCGGGTGCTTCCCGGCCGCGCTCTGCTCTGCTCAGAAGGGCAGAAATCTCTTTTCCAGGCGCAATCCCCGAGGTGAGACGCTGGGGGTTGGAAGATGCTCTCCCCGCAGGAAATGGGCTCTGGGAACTCGCTCGGTTCCAGCAAGAAAGGCCCAAAAGAACCACAGCAAGGGAAGGAAGGAGTTGTGGCTGCAGCAGGGAGAAGCGCCTGGACAGCTCCAAAAGCGTTTTCCTCCGCAGGAACGCGGAGAGGTGAAAGCAGAGCTCCGGAGAGCTGCGGGAATGCCGAGGTCCCACAATGGGAACGGGGAGATTGGCACCAGCTCGCGCAAGGAAACCCTAATAGGCTATTTCTGGACTACTGGCTCTTAACAAATCTATAGCACCTGAAGTGTTAGCACTCAATTAGTGACAAGGTTTTAAAACCCAGCGTTTACCGGCGAGGTATAAACAGAGTCCTCGGGAGATAGCCGGGAATTAGGGCGGGAGGGGGCCCGGACACCTTAGCCGGGTGGCAGTAAGAGGAAAACTTTTCCAAAAGGCCCCTTTTCTCTCTCTCTAAACAGTCCGAGGTGTCGAAAGCTCGGGGGGGGGAGGGAGGGAGGATGTGCTCTGCGGAGCTTTTTGAGGCTTTTTTGTTTGTTTGTTTGCTTGTTTGTTTTCAGCTCTCTAAATATATACGTTAAACGAATTTCATTTAGTAGTCCTGGAAGGAAGCGATGGGGTGGTGTGGAAGTCAGCCCCAGTCTGAAAGGGGTTCGTGGGCGCTGGGGTCGGATCGGGGCTGTGCGGGCATTGAGGCGCGGCACGTCGGGCTGAACCGCCCGCATTGGTGCTCAGAGCCCGGAGTGAACCGGAGAAGGAGGCGGGGTGCCGAGCCCCGACCCGGAAAGTCCGTGAGTTGCAGCGTGTCAGTGACTTATTCATCAATCAGCCGGACACAGAGCAGACCTGGCCTCTCTTTGCTCAGTGTTTGCTTTTTCACCAATTATTGCGGCCCTGCAGCTCTTTTTGTTGATACAGTAGTTCTAAAAAGTGCTAATGTTCATTTATCAGGGGACCGAGCCCGGGACTCCCACTAGTTGTGATTCTTCCAAAAATATAAACACGCGGAGAAGGGCTAAGGCTAAAGCCCCCATTTGTTTCTAAACTGCGGTATTAAAAGTGATGCATTGTTAAAGATAAAGCGGAGATAACGCTGTCTGTCTCCAATGAATGTCTCCCCGACGCATTAATGACATTCCAAATGATAGCTCCGGCTTATCGTTCAATTAATCACTTCCACCCTCTGCAGCCGGGACCACATCGATCGGGAGCGGCCGTGTGACTGCGGGCAGCCCTTCAGTGCTCCAGCAGCAGCCGTTCGCCGGCCGCTCTTCTGCCTGCGTCCCCGGGGCCGCCCCGACGGGGATGAGCTGCGGGCCGGGACCGCTCCTCTGCGGGCTCTCCGGGTGGGCAGCGCCTTTCTCGCCGCCCTGAGAGCTCCGCCGTGCAGCGCTGTGTCTCCCGGTAGCCCCGTGCACCCGGATTTCTCCCGTCCCGAAGGAGCTGCCCTGAAAGCGGGTGGGCCTACTGCCGTCGGGCAGGGTTTAGGGGGAGATCGCGTTCACTTCGTTGTTTTAGTGTTTCCCTAAGCTATCTCGATTAGGTTGCAGAGAAATGAAAGGGAGGCAGCGAGGTCTGAAAGGCCGCCGGGCGGTGCCCCGCTGACCCGACGCACGGGAGGCTCTGGGAAGCTGCCTCCGCCCTCCCCGGGCTTCTCACCCCTTTTCCTGCAGCCGAGAAAAGGCACTCCGAGCCGCCGGCCCCCTCGGGCCCGGTATCCCAGGGACGTCCTCGGGGAGCGCAGCCGCACGGAGCGGCGTGGCCGCCGCCCTCCCTCATTAAATAGCCGTATTTCAGGTCTCCCTGCACGCTATTCGCTCCGACTGTCAGCGCGAGATCCGGATCTGCTTCACAAAGAACCGCTCCCGGAAAGGCAGCGGGAGGCTGCACGGAGATCGCGAGCGCTAATGCAACCCCAGCCCCAAAGCCACAGCTTCACCCGCAAAAGAACGCTTAACTCAGTGCCCCCGAGCGGGACTCGAAAGTGGAAAGGCGCAAAATCTCTCCGGAGGAGGGGGGAAAGGCAGCAGCTCGGAGCAGAGCTGCGGACAGGTGCTCGGCTTTTCCCCGCCTCGGAGCATCCATCCTCATCTACGGGAGGAGGAAGGTTTGCGGCAGGGCCCGGCTGCAGCCCGGGAACAAACCCTGCAAACCGCCCCTCATCTACAAAACCTGCCCCCGTGTCCCGCAGCTCCGGGCACTGCGTGCCTGGGACGCCCCAACTCACCGCAACCGCGGGGTCTCTCCGCTCGCTGCCCGGCCCCATCTCCCACCGTCTCACGGTACCGCACCGAACAAATCGCTTAAAGAGATTGGTTTTTTTTTTTTTCCCCTCTCACCCCTAAGCCAGAAAGCTCCGTACCGCCCCTCCTCAGCCTGAGGATTTGCCTCTACGGTTCCCTTCGGCGACTCCGAGTGCGTGAAGTCACCGACCCGATGCTGCTCCGGGTGTGCGGGGCTCTGCGGGCGGACAGAGAACCGAGAGCAGCAGACCGGGCCGGGAGCTGGGCTGCCCCCGGGGCTGTATTATCCCCAAGACCCCTCGGTGCTCCGAGCGCCATTGGGTAGCGGCGGAGCAGCCCTCGCAGGGTTTGCTTTGGTTTGAAAATTTCACAAACAAGGGCGGAAAAAACAACCCATTCCTCCCCCCTCCCTCACCCGCCCGGGGCTGCTCAGGGTCGTTGTGTCGCGGGGCTTTGGAGTTGCGCTGCACCGCGGTGTATTAAGCACGGATTTCCCCTCGAACGCGCTCGCAGCGCGGCGATCTCCCGTTTTGTAGTTCCTGTGATCGGATATTGCAGAACACTAAAAACGAAAACTCCGCTCCTTCTTCAAGAAAAAATGAAATCAGCACATATTTGGTTGATGGTTTCCTCCCGGCCTGTTTATTTAATCTGACTGTATGATAGATGGCATCAGATAGGGGCTCTGTACACATCAGGCCAGTCGAGAGTGTTTTTCTTTTTTCTTTTTTTTTTTTTTAATGGATCAACAAACTGAGCTGGGAAAGCTGGATAAATACAGTGCCGCCCCTTTAAATGAGCGGGGATGTTTTTGCGATGTATTACTATATTAGGTGACAAGGAACTTTGCATCTCTCATACCATCACGGCAATGTTGGCCAATAGAAAGCTAAAGTCACCCAAAAACTGCCTAGTCCCTCCTTCCCGTCCCTTATGGTCCGCTCCTACCTGCGCGCAGCACACAGGGCCGCCTCCCGCGGGATGCTATGTGCCCCCCCCGGCAGCCCACGCTGCAGCAGCGCTCCGGGCCGCCCGCTCCTCGCTTCCCCTTCCATGACCCCGGGCTGCGGCCGCTGTCCCGCTTTCCTCCGCAATGTTTCCTAGCCCTGTGACGACGACTCCCTTCTCGGTCAAGGATATTTTGAACCTGGAGCAGCAGCAGCAGCAGCAGGGCGGTCTGGCCCCTATGGAGCTCTCTTCGCCCTCCTGCATGTTGGCCACCTTCAAACAGGAGGCGTTCGGTTCCGAGCCGCCCGCCCTGCCCGAGCTCCCCGAGCCGCACCCGGCCAAACCGCCCGCCGCCTTTCCCGGCCCCTACTACGTGAAAAGCTACGGGGAGATGGACGCGGCCAAGGATTCCAAGGCGGACAAGAAAGGTAAAACTGCAGCCCGGGGCTGCGGCACTGTTCTCGGCCCTTTGCAGCCCGGCCCAGGGGCTTGAGGAGAGCGGGAGCTCGGGAGGAGCGTCCGAAGGCCTTCCGAGGTGCCACGATGGGGAGAAACCCCCGGTACCCGAGCTGGGGCACGGGGCAGGGGAGGCACGGGGTTACGCCAGGCCTCAGCTGTGGCCGGACAGCAACGAGGCAGTGAATATTTTTCTAACGAGCACAGCGAGCATGTCTCTGTGGGGTGGGATTCAATACAAAGGGATGTAAATATGAGCTAAATCCAAAGACGAGACTAATCCAAATATGAGACAAATCCAAGCCCAAGTTGTGGCGGAACCAAAAGGGATGCACTGAGCCTTATTTACAACAAACAAAAGCAAGCAAACAAACCCTAAAAAAAAAAAAAAAAAAAAAAAAGCCTAAGCAAACATAACAACAATAATAATAATGATGACTGCAAATTGCTCACGAGGTGCTCGGAAGCCCCGGACGGAGCTGCTGCCCTGCAGACCCCACACGGATGGGACTGAGCGGTGCCGCGGGGTTCCCTCGCGGTGCACACGGGTCAGTAACACCGTTTTGCCCTTTTTTATGTTTTGCTCTCCCTGTTTTTCCTTTGTCCGTGTGTTTTGCTGCAGAACTGTGCTCCCTACACAAGAGCCTGGAGCAGGAGAAGAGAGAGCTGGAGGATCCCGAGCGGCCCAGACAGAGGAAGAGGAGGAAACCCCGCGTCCTCTTTTCTCAAGCCCAAGTCTACGAACTGGAGAGAAGGTTCAAGCAGCAGAAATACCTCTCGGCTCCCGAGAGAGACCATCTAGCGAACGTCCTAAAGCTCACCTCTACCCAGGTGAAAATTTGGTTCCAGAATAGAAGGTACAAATGCAAAAGGCAGAGACAGGACCAGACCCTGGAGATGGTGGGGATCCCACCCCCCCGGCGGATAGCGGTGCCGGTGCTGGTGCGGGACGGGAAGCCCTGCCTGGGGGAGTCTTCTCCCTACAGCTCGCCCTACAACGTCAGCATTAACCCCTATAGCTACAACGCCTACCCCGCGTACCCCAACTACAACAGCCCCGCCTGCAACGCCAACTACAATTGCAGCTACCCGACCGTGCAGCCCGTGCAGCCCTCGGCGGCAGGCAACAACTTCATGAACTTCAGCGTGGGGGACTTGAATTCGGTGCAGCCGCCCATCCCACAGGGGAACGCGGGCATCTCCACGTTGCACGGGATCCGAGCGTGGTAGGGCGGCCCGGGCCCGGAGCTGCGCGGGGGGGTGGAGGTCGGGACATCGCCGGGCTGCAGGGCGAGGGCAGCTCGGTGCGGGACAGCGGGGAGCTCCCCGAGGCTCTGGGGCACGGGGTTCGGCCCGCTCATTCCCCTCTCCTCATCTTCCTACAGAACGGTCGGTCATTTCGCTTGACTTGTTCCTAAACAACGGCAAGCCAAGCCCTACAACTCATTATTATTATTTTCTTTTTTCTTTCTTTCTTTCTTTCTTTTTTTTTTTTTTTAAACTCTTATTCTAATTATTATTGAGAACCACATTTAATTTTGCACTTCCTGTCCGGTTCCCCCCCCCTCCCATCCAGCCCGGTCCGCCCGCCTCTCCCCGCGGTCGCTGTCCCAGCGCAGGACGGGGACGGCCCCGCCGAGCTCCGGGCGCTCCGACCCGCCCCGTCCGCTCCCCGTAGGGTTATGCACTAAAACGTGAGTTAGGATTCAGATGCACTGCCCGCTCCTCGCCCCGCCGCCCGTTCGGACGTGTTTCCCTTTGCTGTACGAGCTGACGGAGATCAGCGAGTTGTCATTAAAGAGAGTGGCTTCACCTTGCGCGTTCCTGGCCTTCACTGGGCAGCCGAGGACCCCCGGGGCTCCCAATGCCGCCCCCGATCACCTTTTTGTATTACTTTTCCCCTCCTCTCCGTTTCTGTACCCCTTCGGTAATTGCGGCGATTCCCGGTTTGGTGCGAGCGTTAATGTATTTTTAAAAGCGATTTAAAAGCTGCTCTCAACCTCCCCTCCCAGCCCAAAAAGGACCGCCGTGCCTTGTCCCCCCCAGTTCCATCACGGGAAGGGCCGGGAGAGTTGCTGGGGGCTCTGGGAAGTGGGGAGCCCCACTCGCTGCTCCTGGACACTTTGGGGCCGGGGGTGAAGGGACAGATTTCTTCCTGACACGGAAAGGCAATAGGAGGGCAGCAAAGCTCCGAGCCATAAAACATCGGATCGGGTCCTGCCCGCGCCCCCACTGCGTTGCATTCCCATAGAGACAAGGGACAGAACACCCCCCGGCCCCGAAGTGCTCGGGGGCAGTGAATGGTGCTCCCCCCTCCCGGCTCCGACCCCACTTCTGACTCAGCCCCAGCCCCTCGTCCGCTTTTACAGTAGTCGCTATTAAATGTCAATTATTGGGAGTGAGAAACAACAAACATTGTAATTCAGCGCAGTCAAAACATCCTCTGAGTGTCTGAGATTGTCCGGCCCGGCGATAAGGCGATTAGGGGAACCTGCAACCTCTCCTGTCTTGGCCGTATCGGTCCCATCAGTAAACAGGGATGGAGACAGGGTGGCTGTGGCCCTGGGACAGGGATGAGAGGCTGCGGGTGAAGGGAGCCTTCTGTAGCCCCTGCCCCTCCTTCCCGAAGGGACCAACCGCACACACGCCCGGATAGGATCGCACAGATAAGGGGCTCCCATCTCCTTTCTATCTCTGTTAATGGAAGGAGAGACCTGGGTGTTGCTCCCAGAGCCCCTAATGCTGCGTGGATCGCAGAGCTGATGGCTGGGGGCTGTGCTGGGGGGGGGG